GTCTTTTCACTCTCCGTACACTGTCGGTGACAACAGGCAGCTTTGTTTTACTCTAGTCTTCACTTCAAAAGCTTCGCTAAGTTTTCGATTGTGAATCACTTGACATCTTGCATTGTTGAATGGTTGCTGAATGAGGTTGTCTAGCACTAGCATAATCATTGATTTCACGCATCTGCGTCATTCTCTCTAATGGGCTTAGGTTTAATATATCTGTGTCTTATTTCTGGCTTTCTTGTTGAGGGCTCAATACTTTCAATCTTCTGGCATACACTGCTTAACGGAATGTCTGACAGGTGCAGCTTCTCGAACCTGTCTAAACCCAAGACGTCAAGGTTTGAATTGTTGATGTAGCATGTGCCGACGAAATGACTATCGCGAAAATCAACGCTGCATTTAATTTCTCCATTCAATCGAAGTCTTCCACCACATGCACTAATTGCTATCTGATTTGTCTTCTCTATGGCAGGGCATCCCAACGTCTGCCACAATTTCTTTGATATTATTGTAATATCGGATGCTGTGTCGATTTGTAGGCGTGCCGGCCGTGTATTAATCGTCAGATTGATATATTTGCGAGGTGCTGGAGTACTAATATGATATGTGGCAGTAACACCCAAAGACTTGAGCTTGTTGCGCCGTCTGGGTCGACTACGAGATCTGGGTTGGTTGTTGCGTTTGCAGTAGCCATCTTTGTGACCAACAGTATGGCATCGACGGCATTTATGCTGTTTGAATGGGCACAAGTTTGCAAAATGCCAGGAGCCACAGTGCCAGCAGGCTGACGGTGGTTTATGCTGAGGATGAAGCGGTGCGGTTGATGTCGACGGTACTGGATGCACCACATGCACTTCTGCTGCATTTTGGCTGCCAGACTGCACCAAGACGGTATCGTTATGAATGTTGATTAAACGCTGATATTCTTCACCGACGTCTTTCAAAGTCATTCGTGGATCTTGTTCCAGACGATTTAATAGGCGTGTGCGTATATCAGCAAATTTGGGTGACTGCAAACCACAAATGAAAATCAGTACCTTGAACTGGTCTTCTGAGAGTGATTTCAATTTAAAACATTCACACGTGCGATTGACTATACCCAACTGAGTATGGATATCATCATTTTCGTTCAACACTAGTTTCATGCAATGATATCGAATGTTGAATAACGATCTCTGATCACCAAACTGATGACGAAGGGTATGGACAGTTTCATCGAATGATCTTTCGCTGGGCTTCTGTGGGAGAATTAAGTTGCAGTATTTATCTAGCTCCTCTGCTCCCAATTTACGAAGTAGAAGCCGTACTTTCCAGGCATCATCTTTATCCGCAAAGTCTACTCGAAATAGGTCTTCATATCTGCGAAACCAGGTATCAAATGTTACGTTCGCATCTGGATCATAAACGAATTCTGAGATGCTACTACCAATGCTGTCGTTGGCTGTAGATGAATCAGCGGAGCGTGATATTTGTAGACCAGCAAGCATTTCCATCAATTTTAGCTGCTGTTCCATTAGTTTCTCTAAACGCAGTGGGTCCATCTTCAGCAAACCCGTCGCCAAATTTGTTATGATGTGTGAAATAAATAATGAATATTAATGATTCCCCTGCGTATATATTATAAAGATATGGGACATTCCATACTGCTGAAACAGTTTCTGAATTACTTGGCAACGAGTTTGTCATTAAACACTTGGTAACAAAAGTTACAGAATGGTAAAAGCACAACATCGATGTCAAAATGACTGATATCAGTATTTGAACTTCAAACCACTTAAATCCTTACAAAATAATTTTTGAAAATTAATTTGATGCTCACTACAGACAAACTGCAAGACGAAGTTGCCTAGTGGCTCAATAGGAGGTTATGACCAGTGTGGGTTTCACAGGGTCAGGCTTAATGATAGATACAGGCCGATGACTTTGGCTCGCGGTGGCGCTATATGCATCACCAATTGATGGATGTTGACATTCATGGGCTGGCCATTGGATTTTTTCCCAGTGACTGAATGGTTAACAGCCTAGCCTTGAAACTTAAAGGTCCTGGAAGCGTGCTGTTGAAGAGTCCCAGACTACGGGAAACTGCTGACAGGTACTCAATAGTTTTTAAATGATATCAATCCATGGTCAGATTTGAAACCAATCAAATCCCTACAATTTAATTAAAAACCAAATTTATCTGAAAATTATAATGTATTTTCTTCAAACATTTGAAAAATAAAACTACTTAGATGATGAACTTCGGGTAAATTTCAGCTGATAGATTTTGGTCACCAGAAACATGGGTTGGAAAGACCACTATATATGGGGGAGTACTGGGAAGTTGTTTCTTCCTAGTTCTAGACTTTTCGACAGTACACACCCATGACCCATTCAGGGATCGAGCCCTGGTCGAGCCAAGCTGGTCGACTATTCATCAGCTACTTGGGCTAGAATTCAATAAGTTGCCAAAGTAAGAGTTCCCATTATGATAATTTCAGAACACAATTTAAACAAGCAAATATGTATTTTCAGTAAATTACCGACAAACTTTACGACTGCATAATAAAGTAACAGTTATAGGCGGATACGGATCACAAGATTGATAAAAATTCCACCTATGCGACTCTGAACAAGGTGTAACCTAAATTCCCTAAGTAGGTACGCCTTTGATTGCTAAGCACGGCTGAGGCAGCCTCCATAAAAAGTTTCTCTATTATTTCAAAAAGTTTCTCAACCTAATCTTTATCTTTAGAGAAAGTCTTCTCAATTGGTCTACCTACTAGGGGCTTCAATCTGGGCCTAGAATAATTACCCCAGTGATACCGGATAGTTGTATGTATTATTTTTACCATTATTTGTACTACTAAGTTCATTATCAATAAACTACTGTGCTATAGCGGCATATTTTAATCTTAGTTTCTCCATTTATTACATTTATTGTTATTATTATTGTACTCACATTCCGCTTGATTCTGTTCGGTTCTATTGATCCACATCGCTTCGAATGCCTATGACCGATATTTCACTATGTAATTGTAGTAAGGCTGATGAGAGTTCACCGAAAACACGTATTTGCTTGTTGAAATCGTGTTCTACAGTTAGAATTTACAGGTCATTGGATTCCTACCGAAGTAACTGAACGGTCGGAGAGCGTGGTCCCGTAACTTCTTGTCATCGGTTTGGTCCTCGAGGAGTCCCAAAATCGGACGAAACGCCTGTCCAGTGCTCCTTAGTTTTCAGTGATCTCTCTCTCACCCTAATGTACAAATCGCGATTACCTGTCGTCATGTATGTGTCTACACACACATAGACACGTAAATTAGCATACAATATGGGATGTAACGTAATCATTTACGAAATATTAAGGCTTGTAGTGGTGGAAAGTGATTTTGCATTTTTCAATTGTCATAAATTAGCGGGGCTTCATAATAAGTTTTGCAAATGATAGAATTTAGTTACCATCTCTAGATCATACCACTTATTTCCCGATGCAAATGCAATTTAATGATACGGACCAACCTTCTTTTGGCCAGAGAAAGTTGGGCAAGCTCAGCTGATGCTAATATACCGGTGGATGCCATATTCATCGACCTTAGCAAGGCGTTTGACAGGGTTTCTCATTCAGGTCTTCTAGTAAAGTTAGGTAGTCTGGGAATCAATAAAGTGGTTGCCGACTGGATTCAAGACTTCTTAAGGACAGAAGACAAAGAGTACGAGTTAACGGGGTTTTATCAACATGGGAATCGGTTAAGAGTGGCGTTCCTCAGGGTACAATTCTAGGCCCACTTCTTTTCCTGATTTATGTTAATGAGATTCCATCGGTAGTTAAGTCATCCTGCTTACTGTTTGCTGATGACATCAATATTTGGAGGGCTTTACACGATGACAGTGATCAAGTTGCTTTGCAGGAAGATTTAAACTTGTTAAGTGACTGGTGTAAGCACTAGGCCTTGGAGATTAACTTAAGCAAGAGTGTAGTTATGCATGTATCTCATAGTCACGTGCACAATTACTCAGTGAATGGCATTACTCTTCCAGTGGTCACTGAGTATGAGGGCTTGGGAGTGGTTGTGCAGTATGACTTGAAAACAGCAACAAACTGTAGAGCTGCAGCCACTAAGGGTTTTCGAATATTATGAGCCATACGCAAAGCTTTTGCGAATTTTGACGCTGAAATATTTCGTATATTATATCCGACTTATATCAGACCTCATTTGGAATATGGGATCCAGGCAGCGAGGCCGTGTTTCAAATACGAAATAGACTTATTAGAAAGGGTGCAAAGAGTAGGAACTAAGCTAATAAAAGGTTTCTCAACCCTCTCATATGAAGAGAGGTTAAGTCGACTGGGTTTATTTCCACTGTCATACAGACGACTTAGGGGTGACCTAATACTAGCATACCGTATCCTAAGAAATGATTTTGCAGCAAATTTATCTAATTTATTTCTTCCTTCTAGCACCAACCAATTGCGAGGACATCACCTCAAGGTTCAAAAACCACGGTCGAATCGTCTGCATTTGGAGATCCGTTTTTCGCATCGGATTGTGAACCACTGGAACTCCCTACCGGAACACATCGTATCAGCGCCATCCGTTGATTCATTCAAGGCGAGATTGGACCTCCTGTCTGTAACAAATCGAAATGATTAACACAGGCATATAGCCTACTATCCTAAATAAATTGAAAACTGAAAACTGGACATCTTTCTTTGTGACAGAGTAGACTGTAGGCTTTGAATCTATCTGAACTCTACACTAGTTCAATATTATTCCCTTGAGTTCATGCTCTTATCGTTGTTAGACAATCAGTTTCTTGCGTATAATAAAAAACTATAGGCTATATTAATCGTTTTATTTTGCTTTTTTGAATATTCCGCGCTTTAACGAAAATCGGTAATTAAAACATTCATATTATACATGTTTGAATTTTGGTGCGCAAATGTTTGTTTAAGTAAATTAAATTTTGTTTGTATAGCTTCTTATTTTTCTCATCTAAATTCATTATCAATCACTTCCCAATAGTAAACTGAACTCTTGAAGAGCAGTCAGAAAAAAATGAATGATGAAGAAATTAAAGATTTTTTCATGGATCCAATGGTTACAGCTTATATTGAGTCATTTATGGAGGCTCACTGTTCAAGTAAATATCATTTCGCATATAAATTTCGAGCATACTTATTGTTTAGTATTTACATGTGACGAGGAAGTTCACCCAGATCATTTAGCTAGACATAAAGAATACTCAGAAATGGTGAGTGAATAAAAGTTATTTATATGTATGCTATTCTAATGTGAATTGTAATTTTATTGTAACTCTTCTACTTTGTTTGTTACAGGTTTTGTTACATCCCCAGTCAAATTTGTAGGGTTCTAAGATTTGTGAGGGTTTCGGGTTAATTTCACTTGTTAGACTCCGTCAAAAGCGAACACCAGTTAGAAAGATCAGTGAGACATGATAGAGAAGATTTGTAGCTCAGGTGGATGGTTTTGTTGTGGTTGTCTTCTCTGAGCAGCTGGATGGTTTATTGGCGAAGCTTTCATTACCCTACCTCGAACTGAAGTATGCGCTGAAGATATTGCCTAGTAAGTAGGGCAATGAAAGCTTAGCAAATAAACCATTTAGCTGTTCAGAGAACAAAACTACATCAAAAGGAAATCATTTAAGACCACGGAGCACTGGGAAGCTGTTTCATCCTGTTTTTGGGACTCTTCAGAAGCTCGCATCTATGATTTCTACAGGAGTAGAATCTGTTACCTCAGAATATGAGACCATTCTCGTTGACCATTTAGCTACTTGGAATGGAATTCAATGACGGGTGAATCCTAACTTCTATTGATATAGCGATGCCCTCACGAATGCCTTCGATGGGCATCCTCTTCACCTATATATATGTAACGGCGGAAGATAAAGGCTAGGCAACAGATTGTTTATTGAGAAAATCAAGAGATATTTATAGATTTTTAGATATATTATTGTCAGCGAAAAAGCAACATCTTCTGACTGGTTGTTTTCTTGCTGAAGGTTATCCTCTTATCTCTTTGTGACCGTTTCTCAGAAAGTTAAGCCATCTATTTGCGAATCCTGTTTGTATACCTTAAATCCGCTGTGACTGGTTGATTGGTTCCTCTGGTTCGGGACGTAACATTGACGTAAATTGCTGTCTACAATTTCGGCTTGTTGGCAGCCAGGTCTCGCCATGTATATATATATATATATATATATATATAGACCACAAACTGACGAAAATAGAATTCAAAGGCTTTTGAATTCCAGTGTAAGGGGCTGAATATTGAATTCAGAGAGGATCAGACTTCATATGGGCTCAAATATGATCTCTCTTAATGGGTTACGACAATCTATTCCACCATGGTTTTACAAGGGAGAAAGGAAGGATGTGAGAAGTTCTATTCTAGAACAATTGATCGACTTCTGTCACTCTACCAACCCTGGCCGTGACTTTAAGAGCATCTATCGAATCCATGCTAACTTGCCAGGTTTTCTTCATTATAAACTTCTAAAGACGGTGGAGGCCTTGGTCATTCATAAATTTAAGCCAGACCTTTGTATACAAAAGAAGTATGTACAATCCTTACTTCTGCCTTTCCCTCGTTACTACGATTATTATTATTATTATTATTATTACTGTTCTAATTCCAGTATGATTCCACTTGTCCCACCTATTACTCTAAATCAAAAATGATTTGAAATATCACATTCTATCTTATAATACTTCACATCGTGTTAGGTAACGTCTTTCATGTTTGCCTACCAATATCAATGGGGAGACTGAAAGATGACCTGGATGCACAACGTCTCCATGAATGATATGGATTCAGGAAAAGCAAGTCATTTGCTGAGCCAATTGCAAATATATGCATCACTGAACAGAGTAGGGAATAGCAGTCAAATCTCTCTCTAAGTCAGCTTTGACAGAGTTGATCTCAAAGTAATTTGGAAACTACTCCTAAACTATAAAGTAAACAAAATTTGCATTAATCCCATTCAGCAGCTGTATGACACTATCACATATCAAGTAATCCACAAGGGGAAACTTAGAGTAGCTTTTGAAGTGACGAGAGAGGAGTAAGAAAAGGCAGCTAATTACTGTCACTGGTGATATTCTTAATTGTGATGGACTGGATTACGTGTCAGAAAGTCCATAGAGAGTAAAGAGACAGGAATGTATGGGACCAGTAAGAAGACTTCGTAAGATCTAGACTCCAGGATGACTTAACGTCCAATGTCACGTAAAATCGAAGACTTACATAATAAAACCAACAGGTAAGTAGGAGAGACAGACAATGAAGATAGAAGTGATGAATCCCATATTAGTTTGTTTATTAGATGTATCACACAGTGAAACAGTATTATTTACTGGATGATAGGGTTTCAAACAAAATTTATTTATTGTTCATAATCATATCAATTATAATCACACGACTTCGAAACTTTCAGTTTTATAGTTTTCTTTGTCCTCTTCTATTTGTCGTCGTAGGGGTAATAAAATTTTCCAGATATCTGCATGGATAGGTGTTGAATCATTCCTATAACACGTATTTGCAGTTGATTCGATAAACAAAGCTTCCGCTATCAATCTCTCCCTCCACCCTGTGACATTATATTTTAGAACTGTCATCTTATCCCATCCTATTGTATGGATGGTTGTGTGTAAGTGCATGTAGTGAGTGGTATAGCTGAACTATTCTCTAGATTTCTTATCTTATTCGGGTCAACCAATCTAGATTTTGCTGTTAGGTTTTTATGCTCAGCTAGTCTGACTGACTGATTTTGTTCTATTACTTTGATCCATCTATGTATTTGACCTGAAAATCATTGCAGACAGGGTATTAGATAAACTAAATTGTTTTGTTTCAGATGGTCCACAGGATGCAGCCTTTAACCGACAAAGCTTGTTTCTAACAGAGTTTGTGGGTTTGAATCCCGGCCACTTTATTCCTCCCTTGTTAAGAATTCTGCGTAAGGTTTCCGAGGTTCCTTCTTTGTATGGAATTACTACTGATGGTTTAGATTCCCTATTGTTGGTGTTGTCTTGCGCATGTTTGACATGCATGTCGTCATTAATATTATTATTATTAATCTTGAACCCTCTTTAAAGCCTCTTAATGACCCCAACCAGTTTGCCTATAAACATAGTAGGTGTACCTTAGATGCCGCTGTAGTTCTATATCATAATATAGTCTCTAGTTTAGATAGAGGAGCTAAATACGTTAGGTGTGCCTTCCTCGATTACACATCTGCATTTTACTCTGTACCTAGGTCTCTCTTGTTAAGTAAGCTTGCTGCAACACAGAGTGAGAGATGCATAAATAAGTGGTTGTATTCCTACTTTTCTGATAGGAAGCAGTACACTGTCTACAATGGAAAGTCCTCCACTACCTCACTTACTTTAGCTGGTGTTCCTCAAGGTGCTGTTCTTTCTCCTTTTCTGTTTTCTTTTTTCTTACATGACTTGCCCCATTCTGATGTAGCAACTTTTGTCAAGTATGCTGATGACCTCTCTGTCTCCATGCCTGTCAACTCTCAGTCAGACTGTTCCATACTAAATAACTTTCTCTCGGAAATTAGTCAGTGGTCCTCTTCAAACGGTCTTAAGCTGAATCCGTCTAAATGTCAGGTAGTAAATTTCTCTTTCAGACGAAAAAGTGACCTACAACAACTAGCTAGCTCACATGGTCCCACTATCATTGACGGCATAGAGGTTGAAACTACATCAAATGTCAAGTACCTTGGACTGAGTATTTCCTCCGATCTTTCCTGGTACCCTCACATCTTGCTAGTGACTAGAAAGATGTTTCGCTTAACGTTCTACGTTAGGAAGTTTAGGCAGTCTGGTATAAAGCAGTCTTTGCTTTCTCAGTTTGTCAATTCCTGCATTCTACCCATCCCTCTTTACTGCTCCCCATTAATCTTTCCAGGACTACCTAATAAAGACTTTGCTTCGCTGCGTAGGGCACTAAAAGCTGTTAGTAGGGCAAGTGGGATATCGTTAAACCAACTGGTTAACACCATAGTGGATAGACATATAATGTCATGTAAGAAACTAGCGAATACTATATTGTCAGACCCTGAGCATCCTCTCTATACACAGCTCTCTCCTTGCATTTCATCTGGTAGAACTAGAAGTAACTATAGGAAGCTATATGCCAGGACTACCAAGTATAAAAACTCCACAATACCTTATCTGGCACAGCTGTTATGTGATGAGAAAACTGTTAGGCATGACACGATCACCTTACTGCGGCACTCTAACAAATAGTTCCCATTAGCTTTTGTTCTCCTTTCTTTGTTACTATTATATTGTTGCTCATATATTCTATTACAGACTGATTTTATATATCATATCCTGTGCTGTATTATTTAAATATGTGAACGCAATACTGTTCTTTTTTATTTCTTCTATTTCTCTTTTTTATCTTTTATTCTTGTTGCTTTTATTTTTAAATTCTTATAAAATTTATGAGGTAATTAGATGCAATATTGTAATGAACGCTGAAAATTCCATACCTGTACCACAAATACTGTTTGGAATAAAGCCATTATTATTATTATTATTGTTATTATCATTATAATTATTATCACTATCACTATTATCATTATTTATTTTATTTTTACATTTCCCTACATACTTTCTGACTAATTTATCAGGGTAATTATTAAGTTTCAAAGCTTCTCTTACATGCATCACTTCCTGTCTTCGATTTTCCTTGGTACTACTTAGTTTTTGTGCTCTGTCACTTAAACATTTCACCAATTCTATTTTCACTGACATGGGATGGAATGATAGGAAGTCCAAATATCTGTTTGAATGCGTGGGTTTCCTGTAAACACTAGTGTTTAACTTCCCATCTTCTTTCCCTTTTACGCTACAATCTAACATTGGCAGTTCCCCTTCCTGACTTTCCAATTCATAAGTGAATTGAATTGCCTCTACCTTTGAGTTAATGTGTTCGAAAAATCTATCTATATCCTGTGTTCAGAACGTCATCTAGTAAATACTACTATTTCACTGTGTGATACATCTAATAAAGAAACTAATATGGAATTACTTACTACCACAGTGCCCAAGTTTTACACATATATAAATCTAATTTTTATCTTCTCCAATATATTTTCTCATCTTGTGTGTTATTTGAACTCCTGCTCATGTAATAACCTTCTGATTTTTAAAATTTTTTTATTTCTTCCACGTCAGATGAAACATTTATTAAGCGATTCAAAAATCAATTATCAACAGCTAAAACAATCGCTTAACATACTACTGACAAATGAAAAGAAATCTTTAAATTCAATATCTTATATAATAGCCTGTTGGAATTTCAAGTTATTTTATCAAATTATGACACTAGTGAATATTGATTTACAAATGGAAGCACTTTATGCTATTCAGCAAAAAAACAGCAGTTGTCATTCAAAGTAAGCGCTCACTGTTGCCATCGATTTTTGTTTAAGTTTTCGTTACTGTTTGATAAATAATTCACTAACTTTTAAAACAAATAGCACGTTGCTGAATTTCGTGTATTCATGTTGTTTATGTCGTCTTACTGAACGAATTACCGAAAATGTGTGGTGGTTGTTTAAATAAGCAGGTTGTAATTTGCATATCATTAATGTATTCTACATAGTCCCTAGTTATTTAAAATGTAGCGTCGTGCATAAAAAATTGGCACCAGTAAGAAGGTAATCTCTCATTTATTAGTTGTGGCGGCCTGCTTAAAACTTGAGCTATCAAAAACTTCCATCTCTCCCTCTATTGCATATATTTTCTCTCGTTTTGTTTGTTTTAATCGATTTAGATGTGACCTATATAGGTTCCCATGTGAAGTGGTATAATAAGGTGGGCAATATTGAGGTTAGGCGTCGAGTGCTAGGTAAGGAGGGGAAATCAATCAACGAGGCTGTGAAGCTACATCTACTGAGGTGGTTAGGACATGTGTTATGCCAACCTAGCCATCGCCTTCCTCGACAACAGGCAATGTTAGCTGCCAACATAGGGTCAGGTTGGAAAAGAGTCAATGGTGGTCAAACCAAAACATGGCTTCACCAGTCAATGAAATCCACAACAGTCAGTTTAAGCCAGCCATGTAGGAAGGTGTAGACTTCCTCACTGGTTGGGGTCCTAGGGACGGTAAAAACCAATGGCTGGTTACAATCGGTGATATGGCTCAAAATCGTCGTTGTCAATGGCTGGCGTAGATGCATCCACTACTTGTGACTTATGATTTCAAATGAAACTATGTTGTTCTTCGTTATTACTATTCCTATGGCTCACACCTCTATTTACTGTCTCTATTATGCATTTCTTCTATTTCCTTCTCTTGCTTTGTGTGATACATGAAGGGAGTGTGGCGACTTGAACTGCCGCACATCGGTGCAAAGTTCTATGTCGAAAACAGAAAGACAGACATATATTGGTATTATCTACTCTTGTGTGTATTTAAAGTGGTTACAAGCTCCTGATTGGCAAGTTCCTACTAAACTTGAGGAATGGCCTGATTATGGATGGCAACGTATCCTAATACATGAGATAACTATTCTTTAGTTATATCCGTGGATATCGAAATGTACTTCTGAACATCTTAAAATTGACTTCGAACTAGATATCGTGGATGGATTTCTTGAAGGAGACAAAGTAGATATATCATAATGGAATGGTTTGGGCTTCAGCTCAGAGACTACTGTGTGTCACAGGACATACTAGTGTTAATTGATATTTTACTTGAAGATATTGTGCGAAGAGAAAATATCATGCCAATAAACACCTCTGAGGTATGAGGAGAACCTTTTACGCAGAGCAAATGTATGTTTGTCATTTTCTACTCGGTATATGATGACTGGAAGTCAAACAAGCATAAACTAGGTAGTTTCGCCATACATCTATGTGTATTCATCGATTTAAGTGCTCTTTTTTAGGCATTTATGTTTGGTCGTACTACTAGACAGCTTAGACAACATTTTATGGAATATTTCTTCATCAAAGTTTGGTGAAGGATTGACAAAATGCGTCCGCAGGCCCATCTCATTTATCTGATAGTGAAAATATTCATTCAGACATCTGTAAAAAATAAAATATTCGAGCAAAGAATATCCTTTTTGATAAATTCCTCTTCTGGCTCTACAATTATATATATGTGTGTTTATATACATAGAATATTCTAGATTAGTAGTCAATACCAATATTAGCGTTTTTTTAAATAATATCGATTTGTTTAGTAAGATCGCGATGGAATTGCAGTTCATTAAAGATGCTTAATCTCCCCTCTTCCATGTGTATCTACCAATTTAACTGCTCCCTTGGAGCCAGTTATATAGGCCGTACAATTAGGTGTGTTTCTCGCTGAATTTCCGAACATCACCCTGCCTGGTTGGTTAAGCAAAGGTCAAACAAAATCTATTCGCATAGTGCTATTCTTGTGGATGCAGAACACACAAGATTGACGTTAACCATGCTTTCAGGGTCATTTACTACATGCCTACGAATCTCAATTTTGCCTACTAAATATTGCTGAGGCTGTGGGGATCCATATTAAGAAGCCTAATTTGTGCATCCTAAAAAGAAGTTAGTTCAGACATTATCACTACCTTGGCCATCTAAGTTTGATTGATCCTGAATTTTTGTGGAATTTCCTAATTTTAGTTGATATTCTATTTGCTATTATATCTTTATTATTATTATAATAAAAGCAGCTTTATTGAACTGTAATTGCATTGATCATACTTTACAAATCAATATTATTTATTGTTTTTCAGCAGGTTCTACAGTTCTACATCCATCTATAACAATGAAAGAATGATTTTTATTGACAGCATTAGTGGTTTTTAAAAAGAGTAACTTGGAACCATTTAGATCAGAATTCCAGCAGTTATTTGCAATTAGATTTTTAATAGATTATAGTACAAAATATAAGTGTGTATGTGGTAATATGTATAATTGTAATACTAAATTGAACACCAATATTATTACAAAGTAAATGATTATGAATGACAACGAATGTACAAGAATAAATTCTCATGGCTCATCTTCATATTAAGTTCCATTCACATTTAATTGAATGTATAGATTTTCCCGTCGATTGATTGGACAGAAGTGCTCGGTGTCAGGTTGACATGTCTGTCGGCTTCTTGTGCAGATGCTTCGATGATGTTTGGGCATGTAATTAAAATTTAACTGGTGGATGGTGACTAGCAGTGGAATCCAGTCCAGGATGCTCATTTCGTCCTATTTGGGGCTCGTCATCCACCATCCACCAGTTAAATTCCATTCATATTGATTATAAACTTCAGATGGATGAGTAATCATGTCAAGGACGGGGATAGAGAAAAGGTTTTTTTGGTTGAAATTTATGTGCGTTGTATGTGTCACTGTGAAAGTTAACACTACGTTTAAATAAGAAAACGAAATTAATATAAGTAAAAAGTTTGAGCATTGTGGATTAGATCAAATAAAGTATAATTATATTTCAATAGTTTACACACAATGATAAGTTTTGTTATTGGTAGTATTTCGAGCAAAATTACTGCCCGTGTTCACACCACTGTTGGAATTGTTTTATTCGAAAGGTTAGTTAATGCAAGTGTGATGACAAGGGGCTAGAGGAATTTGTATGTACAGGATGGAGGGCCATAACAAAAGGGAACGATGTAATAAGGTATTTACGAATTAGCAGACTCCACAGCAGACCAGGGGAGTAATATTTGTTGGGTCTGTTTCTTCTGTACACAGAGCACCGGTTATTTTAGGTGAATTGCAATAGCCTCTGTTGTTTTTGATGTGGTTGTGTTCTCTGAGCTGGATAGTTAATTTGCGAAGCTTTCATCACCCTATTAGTTGACATCTTCAGCGCATACTTCAATTTGAAGTGAGCTTTTAGATTTCTCCACAAGTTTATAAGACAGCTCTCTCAGTGACCAAGGACATGATTGGTTGTTTTTGTGTGTTTTCACACCTTCTAGGCTACTTGTATTGGAACTGATTGTTTCTTTGACTTCAACTTTGACTCTTTTTGTATGAGGTTTCTTTCTTATCGGTTAATAAATTTTGTCAATCTCGATGTGTCTATTGATTGATGATTCACTGGAATACAAAGCTTCTAAAAATTCTCTAGCATTCTTGGTGTTTCCTCTTTCTAATATTTGAACATTGTCCCAATCAAATTGATGCCCGTGGTTGTCTGTATGCAGTGATATGAGGGAGTGTATGTCATGTCTTTTGACGGCTAGCTTATGTTCGTGGATAGAAGGGGTAAAAACACACAAAAACAACCAATCACGTCCTAGGTCACTGGGAGAGTTGTCTTATAAACTTGTGGAGAAATCTAAAAGCTCACTTCAAATTGAAGTATGCGCTGAAGATGTCAACTAGTAGGGTGATGAAAGCTTCGCAAATTAACTATCCAGCTCAGAGAACACAACCACATCAAAATCATCCACCTGAGATACAAATCTTCTCCATCATATATAACAGCCTCTGTTGTTTATTGTATTTAGTGCCTGGATGCTCTTAGCAATTTATTCGGTACCCAATAGATGATGATGGAGAAGGATTCTTCACTGCTGGCTGCTTTGTAGCCAGTTTGGACCAGGTGTTCTAATGTCGTTTTTACTACACCTTTATTTAGCCACACTAGTAGGTGTTCCGGAGTGAGCACGAAAAATCAAGTTCCTACAGCAACCGCCAATAATAACTTGCTCCACAATCACAGTTGAATCGGTAAATACAAGAAGAGGTAGCTAGTCTATGTACTAGGTATTGTTCGCTTAAATGTGTTGTTCTAAATGTAAACAAACAAAATCGAAAATTCTATCGTATAGATTATAATTACACGATTGAATTAATTTTTGAAATTCGCTGAATTTTCTTGTTTAAATCTGCACATATTGATTAATCATCATTTAGATTATTAAATTGTTCAATGGATCATACAACAGAGATCAATGAAAGCGAAATTAATATAATGCTGGCAGAGAAATCTAACCAGAAAGATGGAGTAATAAAGGTAGATTCCATATATTTTTATCTTTTCATTTCTGTTAGAATATGAAAAAGACAATTCAAAATGAATTCGATCAACCTAACATTGTACAAGATAAAATAAATTTAACCAATGTAAGTCTTATTTATGCAGAATTTAATCTTTCTACAGATTTCCTAATTTTCTCAGTTAATAATCATTAGAAAGAGCTTGAATTAGGCTATAAATTAAGACGCTAGCGACTTGTATGAAACTACATACTACTGAGATTGATTGAGATGAGTAGTAATTCTTGTAACGACAGAAGACAAGGGCCAGGCAACAGATCGTTTATTGAGAAAATCAACAGATATTTATAGATTTTATGTACATTATTATTCGTTATTGTTAGCAGAGAAACCACGTCTTCTGCTGAAGGTTATTCTGTCATCTTTTTGTTGCCATTTCTTAGACAGACCGTTGATAGATCTGCTAATCATATCCGCCCACGCAAAGTCTGCTGTGATTGGTTGTTGAGTTAGTCTTTGTTCTTGTTTTTTTTCTCATGACCAAGATTTGGGACGTAAACATTGACGTAAATTGCTGTCTACGAATTTTGGCTAGCAGACAGCTCTCACCACAATTGTAGTATATCACTTATATTAAACAGTACTGCTTACCAACTAGCCAGCCAGGCTGAGGTGATCTGAACACCTCAAGGCGACTGTCTCGCTTATCAGCGAGGTTTAACGGGTTCACCTCAGTGCAGTGAGCTAGATCACTCCACCAAACCACCTGATATCTGGCTAGCTGGCTGCCTGGGAGAACTTGTATTTCCGCAAATTTTCTATAGTTTGGTTTGTAAGGGTTAGTTTTGTTTTTATGAGTTGATGACGGATTGCTATCAGCTAGAGAACCATTGAAAACCAGCCAGGGAGTACTGGAAGCTGTTTCATCCTAGTTTGGGAATCATCGGCAGTACGTACCCACTGGGGCTCGAACCCAGGACCTTCTGGTTACAACACACCCTAGTGACTTGCTACAGGATGGAGTTTCCTGGAGTTCTAGTGAGAAGTCGTGACCAGTCAGGTCCAACCAGATGTCACGTGTGAAGATGGATGTCCCACCGATGACATTGGTTGGGGTCGCGCTAAATTACGAATTGGTAGAAGTTGGAGTTCATGGACTGGCAATTGAAGGGTCGGGTCCCAGTGGCTTAATAGTATAGGAGTTTGACTTGTAACTGGAAAGTTGTGGGTTCGAACCCCCTGTGGGGTGGGTGCGTACTGACGATGATTCACAAATTAGGATGAAACAGCTGTCCAGTACTGCCTGGTTTTCAATGGTTCTCTAGCTGATAACAGTCCGTGATCATCTAGTAAAAATTCAGTAAATCACATCCACAATTCGTGACTTCTTATTCACGCTTTTTGGTATCAAGTAGTTCGTATGCATTTTGATCAAAATAATCTTGACTTCTACAGGAAACTGTGGTGATATAATCACCTCCTCGAACAGTGACAAATTGCGAAATAAAATTGCGATTTGCAAATTCGACTGGCGAATTGTCTTCAGACACACTCCATTAGTTTAACAACAGTCAATAAAAGACAGTTGTTCTTTAGTGAATAGAAATAATGAGATTAGATGGTTGGAGGCAATCGGTAGCAAGCCTTGGACCTAGGTTTCGTGCTAGTTGGCACTCATCAGCAAGGCGTATTTGCAACTTTGAAGGAACTCATGTCCCTTCTGAGATTCTAAACTTCAAGACTAACTTCAGATAACCACTCATAAATGCATAATTCCATATTAGATAAGTTTATTTGATATAACAGACAGTTGATGACATTTCGAGCACAATTTATTGCTTCTCATAATCATTTCAATACTTACAAAGACGGCTTCATGGTTTGCCCCTTCCTGTTTGTAACAGTTTTCTATAAATCCGGAAACATAAGTGCTGCATCACCTCAACTGCACGTTTTTGGTGTTTATTTGATAAACAGAGATTCAGTATTGATCTCTCTCTCCACCTAATTATATCACTTAGATTACGGGTCTCGTGGGGATTTCACATTGATTCCAATGGTTAGATTTCCCTCAGCAACTAACGTCAGTTAGAAAGATCACTGTAAACTATTAGAGAGCAGTGAACAGGTGTTTCGCACTATTTCTTCAGCACTTTTCTTCAGTGCGAACCCGCGAATCTCCCAGAGATCGAACTCGGTACCTTCAGGTTAAGAGCTGAAGTTCGTTGACCATTCAGCCACTTGGCCTTGAATTCAATGACCCCTAAATTCTAACTTCATCAACTCGTGATATAGCGCTGCCTTCACCAGTGCCTATAGTCAGCATGCACTTCATCTTGACATGGTGAACCACACTGTGCACGACTTCCCTCTTAGGTCATAAGCCATTTATCTGAAGTAACCAATGTCACAGTAGCAAGTCAAATTAAACTAGTTTAGAAAACTGAAACTCCATTATAAGACGTTAACAAGTATAGAGTCGTTAATTATTATTCCCATGAGTTCCTAGTAGAACATACGGCTTCACCAGAGCATCGCCATTCCACTCTGTTCTCTTCCATCCTTTCGACCTGACACCACAATTGACCATGAGGTTTCATGTCACCTTCAGACCCATGTCTACTCGAGAATGTGCCTGGTGTGTGATGTTTTCACTCAGTGGCCTCCCCACAGTGTTTCCGGTCCATTTTCATTTCCTCCAGGTCTGTCTGTTTTCGACATAGAAATTTGCACCGATGTGCAGCAGTTCAAGCCGCCACACTCCATGCAGAACACAAAGAAAGAGAAGAAAGTAGAAGAAATGCATAATAGAGACAGTATACAGGGATATGAGACAAAAGGAATAGTAATAATGAAGAACAATATAGTTTCATTGGAAATTATAAGTCACAAGGATTGGATGCATCTGCACCAGCCATTGACAACGATTTTGAGCCATATCACCAGTTGTCTCCAGCCTTCGTTGGTTTATACTGTCCCAAGGCCCCCAAGCAGGAAGTCTACATCTTCCTACGTGGATTAAACTAACTGTTGTGGATTTGATTGACTGATGAAGCTATGTTTTCGTTTGACCTGACCCTATGTCAGCTAAACATTGCCTGTTGTCGAGGAAGGCGATGACTAGGTATACGTAACACATGTCCTAACCACCTCTCTCAGTCGATGTAATTTCACAGTTTCGTTGACTGATGTCCCCTCCTTACCTAGCACTTGACCGATGCCTCACCTCAATATTACTCACTCTATTTTGCCACTTAACACAGGATATTTATTGTGCAGTAGGTTCTTAGATGGTTCTTTACCGGTCAGAGTTACTTACTGTCTATCCTTTCTGTCCATTTGATCTTAAGTCTGTTTCGAGTGGTAACTGCTGATGAAAGTCTCTGACAGTCTGTTAAAAACGTTTTCGTTGATACTAGCACAACGTATGTGAATCATGTGGAAACACTGACTAGATATCAGTGTTGAAGGTCCGAATCTTCTCCCTTATGCTGAGTACAACAGATGTCCATAATGATTTCAGAGCAATGAAGGTCCGTTCTGCCTGTATCGCCAATCCTACCAGCCTTTGACATCCGCATCCATTGTTTCTGTAGTTGAGAAGATGCTGCTTAGATAACTGAAAGAAGTAACTACATTCAGATTTCTCTCGTTGATGGTGACTGTTATTTTGAGATAGATATCTTCATCATCTCCGTATTCTGTGTTCACTTAAAGTTCCATCTTCACTGCTTGCTTCTCGTGCCAACTTGTTGGTCTTCACCTATAGATCTTTGAGGTTTTATGGCATCAGACATAAATCTTCCGCGAGGCCCAGATCTCTTACAGTCTTCTTTTAGGATCAATGTATTCCTTCCCTCTGTCTTTCCACGACCTGCCACATTATCATCGTTGATAGTAAGCTGCATTGCCTTACTTCTGATTGCATTTCAAAGGCTTAGTTGAACTTTTCGTGGTTGCAACATACCAAAGATAAGCTATTAAACATGCTTTGCAGGGGTTCCATCTGAATTTGCCTACTCATGAAAGAAATCCTCGTCGCGATGCCGTTTTCATCGTAAGTAGCTAAGTCGTAACCGCACTCAGTGATGCAGTTCCGAATCTCATAGGGAATATCAGTTCTTCGAGTTTGACCACGGAGTGATATCAGTTTGAGAATCATTGAAAACCAGAGAGTACTGGACATACTGGCTTCGCTTATAACCGGAAGATCCTGGGTTCCAACCCCAATAGGTGAGTATTGCTGAGGTTTCCCGAACTAGGATGAAACAGCTGGCTTTCCGGTACTCCATGGTTTTCAATGATTCTTGAACTGATATCAATCCATGGTCAAACTCGTAGAAACAAATATAATCCTCACTAATCAACTCTTGAAAATATCTGTACTATCAAGGTTACAGGTACACCTCTCTGACAGATGCTGTTAAGTATGGAACCTCTGTGCAAGGCGTCCAGTAGATTGTATCCAATCTAGACAAATAACTTGGAAGTTCTTCCTTTCAGTTTTTTTAATCTTTCCGTATGATTTTCAGGATCAGCCGAAAAGTTACTTCTCCATACCATCAAACAGTGATGCAGATACTATAACTTCCATTGAAGTAAGATCCAAGCGTCCATCAAACTCTGTGTTATCAACGAATTGGACATTAGATCATGATAAACTGAATGGCATACCTGCTAATCAACAGAATATTTCTAAACTATCAAAGCCAACCAGAGATGAAATTATCGCAAAACAAGAATTCTTACGTAAACAACGTGATCTATTAATTGAAATGAGACGTAAACAACGTGAACAGTTATTCCCTAATCAATGGAAGACCTTCAAGACTACTGATAATCAAAACGTCAGCGATATTATACATGTAAGTCGATTTATAGGTAGGTATGTAGATATTTGCATCAGTGGTGTAACTGTAGAGTACTCTCCAACTGCGCTCCATGTGGTCTGGGTTCCGATTCCCGACCGACACACATCTAAATCTCTTTTGATTAGGGGTAAGCCAAGCAAAGAGGGTGGGATGAGCGTAAGGCTAGCGACCCTATCCTGTAGAAAGTATATATATATAACATCTTTATTCCTCACAAAACGTTACCAAATATCCGGAATTTTCAGCGCAGTCTGTCGTGCAATATCTTCTTTCCATCGACCGTATTCAAATGATACATCATGTGGCCCAATGTGACTTGATCTGGAGAAGAAACATCGACTTTACACTTAAGACTGATTCCGATGGAACGTTCATCTCTACAAGAGATACATTGATGATACTTTCATCATTTGTGATAAGAAGTTGGACCTTGAAAACTTACTTCAAATCTTCAACAACGCCCACCCAAACATTGACTTTACACTTGAGACTAAACCGACGGAATGTTCCACTTCCTGGACGTCCATCTGACAAGAAACGACAACAATTCTTTGAAAAGGTCCATATATAAAAAGTCTACATGGACTGAACAATTCATCAACTTTCAAAGCTTCGTGCCACTAAGCAGAAAGAGGAACATGATACACGCTCTTTCCTCGAGGATTCGGAAGATATGCGGCGAGAAAGTGATCGACGAAGAACTGCGTAATCTCCGAAAAACCCTGATGGAAAACGGTTTCCGCCCAGGTTCATAGACAAGAATCTCAAACCTAAGAAGACTTCAGAACAAGTCCAATCCGTCCCAAAGAAAACACTTCTGCTTAATCTAGAATTCAAAGGTGACATTGAAACAGAAATCCTTCGCAAACACCTCTCCAAATCGCAGAGGAGAACATACTTCGCCGCAAGCCTACGACTGACGTTTTCCTGCAAGAAACTGTTCAACCAGATCGCGAAAGACAAGCTGTCGCACTAGGCCACGTCAACGTGCATATACCAGTTTACTTGCTCTTGTGGAGCTGAGTACATCGGCCATACCATGCGCCAACTTGAAAAACGCGCTCGTGAACACTACCCATCCTGGCTAGTGAAAGGAGACCAAAAACGTGTACACAGTTCAGTGACAGAACATCTGGTCAACTCAGGACATTCAGCGCCTTTCGAAAAATCCTTCAAAGTAATATACAAGATTCAATCAAACCTATCAAAGGGAGTGAAATTAAGACATCTGGGCATAGCCGAGGCACTAGCTGTCCAAAAGCTCAAACCCACACTTTGTATCCAAAAGAAATACGTCCAACCCCTGTCCCCGCCATGGCCATCATAAACAGGTATATTTTTTTAGTAATGATAATCTCATCGCCTTTCTTATCTAAGCTTCCTCCTTATTCATGTTATTTTAAGTTTTGCTTAATCCCTGTCTATACTACCATATTTCCATATCCACACTTCCTGTTTATTTTGTCATTTTACTATTTCTATATATTTAATCCCTGATTACAAAAACAATTACTCATCACATTAGTTTTTTATCCAAACATCCTGTCTATTTTGTTATTTCTACATTTCTAACCCCCAATTGCACAACGTCAATCGTCTTAGTTATTATGCTACTTTGTTTGAGTTTTACCCGTCCCCCTGTTTATTATGGCGTTCTAATTCCTATTTGTAATTTTTATTAATTTGACCCTTAACCGGAAATTATTCTGGAACTTCCCCATCCATTTGATATAAATACACGAATGTACAGCCTAGATGATGACTTCGTCAAAAAGAAAATTTTCTTCGCTGCAACTGTCTTTTTATTAGCGAAGAAAACAGTTGCTTATTTTTGGAGAGGAGCGTAACAGGCGAAATTAAAGCATCATAGTCAAAGTCAAGGTCATTTAAAAGTTGACCTTCAAGAACACATTAGATAGAGGGAATGCTATGGAATGTCATTCCAAGTCAGATCACGCCTGTGTTTTTGGACTTTGAGACGGTAGATACAGTATTCTGCTTATCTACTAGGTACTTTTTCTGCAAATCTAAACTGTTCGGTAGGGTTATGGCTTTTAAGATCAAGGTTTAGGGTCTGAGGTTACAGTTAGGATTAGGAGTTACGATTATGGTTACAGCTAGGAGTAGGTTGAAGAATAGTGTCAGAAACATCAATGGATCTCAAGGTACCATGACCTACAGTCACATGGATGAATGGATATATCGCGCATGGTACGATTTCTCTATAGATCATCTGTGTAGTGACTGGGAGAAATTCTTACAACACATAAGCTGCAAGTATACAGTGTATAATCATGTTTGTAATATTTTCTAGTGTATTTTTCAACGATTATGCGACTTCTTTTATATCTGAATTCTGATTGGTAGTTCAAGGTCACTGTGTTTTTGGTCACGATAATTTAATTTTACCGCATAACAGTAGGCTGAAAGTCAATTAGAAATTTACGCCATTACATTTGGCGACATACAGTTTTCAATGAATAGTTAAAACAAAGAGAAATAGAAAGAAGTTTAGGCATTCCATTGGAAGGAAATTCAGGTAGTCCAGCGATTCAAATATATCATATTTATATACGATTATTAGCTGTTTTGTTACTAAACTCTAAACCTAGTGTCAAAAATTTATGACGAATTTTAGCTGGTAAAACTACCGAGAATTGAAACAACCAGTTAAATTCCTCTGTAGTGTTCACTGGCGACAGTCTTATGCAAAATATAGTTTAGGAAGGCTATGTCTATCAGTAATTAGAATGCAAGTAGAAAACTATATCGCGGATCTTAAGATGTAGAATAAAGGTGACATGATTCACAAATAAGTTCCCTTATCGAGTGGCGATTCATCACCTCTCCCTCTCCGCTTTGAGAAATTCAACTTAGGGCAAATGAACAATAAGTAGCTGATTGGCAACCAGTTGAGAAGCGTGTAGCAAGTCGAAATGGATTTAAATTCTCTTTTTCTATAAAGGGCGAGTCGCTGAATTCGATATAAATAAAGAAAGGCATTCTTGTTTGGGCGAAGTCAAACTATAGCAGGTGTCCCCCCTCCTGATACATGACTTCCGACTAATCAGCTAGAGTCCCAAGTGGTACAACCAAATAAATTATAACCTTTATTGTGAGTTTGCCGATCGAGTTTTGAAAAGATCGTGTTTTTGATTACTGTGTAAATAACAGACTGAATATGATTATCAAAATACTTGTACATGCATAAAAGGCTTAAAATAATAAGTAGCGTTTTGTGAGTAGTGGGATTTTGTGGTAGATTAGAGAACAGAATCAGAAATATACACGGATCACAAAATACCTCAATCTGTAATCATCTTTTTAACAATTTTGCGATATCTTTGGCTCTTAGGTTCCGACTTGTTGTACACCGTCAGTGGTGAGGTTCATCCAGGTGGCTGCTATAGTTTGATGTCATACTAACCTGGACAATTATGAGCGAAATCTTCGATGAGACTTTTTTCAACAAAGAATAGTTTCACTCTAATCAATTCGTCGCTTAATTTTTATATTTTTTCCGCTTATTTCAGGATAATTCAGCTTCAGTGAGTGTACAAGACGATGAAATAATGAAAAGACGTCGTCAACTCTATGAAAAGCTTAAAGTTGAAGTTATCAATAAGAACAGTACTGGAAATATATCGTGAATACATATGTGGGACTTGTCAGACTTTTCAGTGTTGAATGAAGAAACATCCAAGTAGTAGGCAGATTCCTTTTATTGCAGAAGTATAACCGGACACTGGTGCAATACAGAAGACAGCTTGATTAAGAAGTCTCACTGAGCTATAATTTCAAATGTACAGTTACAAATACACTGGAGCATGAGCCTTATCAAAAACAAACATAAATGAAGTACTCCTATTCATACTACTTATTATTTAAAAAGTAGTGTGAGTAGAATAGCGTAAATTCACTGTAACTGATTTTTAATTTTGATTTAAAAACACATCATTCAGTAGACACTTGATTATTTAAATTTGTAATACTTTAAACTTTTATACAAATTTTCCAACATTCTTCGAAGAATCCTCACAAGTTTGTTGTCCTTTTGTGTCATGACAAATACATTTTCAATTATGTGACCTTATCCTTAACAGTAGGCAACATTTCTACCTCAGGACTATGAAGTTCAACACTTGATAAACTTTCTTCATTCGTCATGGTTTTTACACCATCAGACTAGCTCAATCTGTTAACAATAACCAATAAAGAAACTTACATTTTTCAGCAGAAATATGACCAATACAGAAAACATCGGGTACATTTTTGATCAAAAATGTATATTTTGCATATTCTGAATTCATCAGGACTTTTTTGTTTACAAACTGATCAATATCGCTAAATAATGAATTACTAATTGAAAATACGCTCAAGTTGACTTTTATTTTATTTGGTTTTTATTCACTCAATACGCACAATACATTAATATTCTGTGAGTATAAAAGTCTCCGTCTTTTATTGTTATTATGCTACAGATGAGTTAATTATTCCACTCTTTGATGATGATGAGTACAAATCGGCTGCGTCGGTGGCACAGTGGTTAGGACTCCCCACGACCATGCACATGGTCCGGGGTTCGATCCCCCGCCGACGCACATCCGATATCAATGGTCGGCCTGCTAAATTTGGGCTACCGATACCACTTGCTGAAAATCCCATACTTGTACCGATAATACTGTGTGGAATCAAGCTATAATCAAAAAAGATACTAACGCTTTACCCCTGGAAAATTTCATAACGAGTCTAAATTCAAACAAGTCAACATGCATAAAAAAGCAGAAAGTGTTGATAGAATTCATCTGCAAAATACACCTAAGACTGTTTATTTGAAATAATTTTTATGAACATAATTTGGGCGAATAGTGATCAAAAGGTAATCTTGTATATCTCGAGAATGGCTAATGGCAGTTTTTAGTAAGTGTAGGGGTTCGTCAAGTCAATAGAACCTTCAACGGTCATCTTGTTTATCCGTGAGGATTGAGATACAGGGGGGATTACTAGACTTTCAGATGACAAGAGTTCAGCAGCTTCCAATATCCAATATCGTATTTACGAGCAAGTATAAACCAATCTGAATTCTTTGTGCTCGCTTCTTGATTGTGAGGTAAAGGTTCCTGGTGTTCGGTAAACTTCTGTGTAGTCCGTCCAGCCACTCGAATGTCGTAGCTAGTGCGAATAGGCCTAATTTGTTTGGCCTTTCATCATATGGTTTGTTGCGAAGACCAACCACTCCTTTTGTTGCCCGTCTGTGAACTATTTCCAAGAGGTTGGCGTCTCTTCTAAGTAGTGGGGGCTCAATGATATTATGGACTTCAAGGTGTGGTCTGACGTATGCTTAGTACAACCTTAGAAAAGCTCAGGAGTGAGTGCACCTAAATGTCTATTTGCAAAGTGCATGACCGCATATACCCTCGCTATATTCCCCGTGTAATTCACGTTTGCCACCATTTTTTCCGTTACAGCTAGACCTAAGTCACCCTCCGACGTTGTGCATGACAAGCCTTCGTTACAAATAGTGTAACTTGCATTCTGCAGCCTACAGGTGCGTAGTTTCGCTTTTTCAGGTTGAAAGTTGTACCACTGGCCAACGCCCAGTCTTCCAGAAGCCTGCAGCCTATATGAATCCTCCGTATCTGTACGTCGTCAGCGTATAGAAGAGTAGGGCAGTCTAGACAGCATGGTAGGTCATTGATATAAATCAAAAACATCGGTGGTCCTAGGACAGAACCCTGTGACACTCCTGATGACGAGCCGTGCCAAGACGATTGGACTCGATTGACCCAAGCGCGGAATTTCCTTTCAGCTAGGTAGTCCTACAACCATGACAGAAGCGGCTCACTTGCCTAACTTATTTTGGTATAGGAGAAGGTCATGGCGAACTGCATCGAATGCCTTCTCTAGGTCTAGGAAGACCACATGGACTGGAACATTCATATCACATCATGATGTCCAATCGTCCCAAGCTGATAGTAGGTTTGTCACACAGGATCTGCCTTTCCTGAGACCGTGTTGGGCTTCATGGAGTATATTAGATCTATCGAGATATTCCCTGATGTGATCGTCAATAATACTTCCTAGTACTTTTGATACCACTGGGAGTAGAGCTACTGGTCTATAACCAGTGGCATTTCGCCTATCCCCACAATTAAAGATCGGAGAAAGGATGGCTCTTTCCCACTCCCTTGGCATTTTCCCCGATTCCGTGGAGTGTTGGAACAAGTCACATAAGGGCCTACAGAGAGCTTCGGCGCACTGTTTCAGAACAGATGGCCCGATGTCATCACAACCTGGGGACTTCCCAGGTATGAGTCGCTGCAGCTTTCTCAGTACTATTGCAGGGTTTATTTGGGGGTGGCTATTTGGTCTTCCTCCTCTGAAATAGTGATGCCACCATTTTGGTCCGTTACGCTAATACCCACATTGCTGTTTAGCTGTTTGGCGAAGGCTAAACTAAATGTTTCAGCCATCTCCAGACTAGTGAGATATTGACTGTTTTGGCCCTGGTTGGTTTTCTTTCCGACATGATTCGGTACAAGTTCTTGGGGTTTGCTAGGAATTTTTTAGCAAGGTTGGCCTGGAATGACCCCATGTCCGTCCTGAGTTCCATGTATGCATCGTGGTCGATCTGACTCTTAGATACACGCCACGTAAACCAAGCCTTCCGCTTTGCTTGCAGAATACGCTGCGTGCCTCTCTTTAACCATGATGACTTTCTTTTGGGCTGTGTTGTGACTAAAGGGACAGTATCCGAGATTACTGTACGAATAATCTTTCTTACCACCCTCCAGTGTTCATCCACAGATAGCTCATCCCATGCTAAGGGCCAGTCTGCATCGGACAAGAGCCTCTGCATTTCAGCATAGTCGGCCTTGCTGTAACACAGACATGGTCGTGTAACGTCGCACTGCACATGCTCACGGAGAAGGAGATCGAAACCTTTGACTGCATGATCATTAATTCCTGGAGAGTCATGATCCGGACCTTTTCGACGAGTAGTTCGTCACTAGTTAAAATGTAGTCTAGTTTCGATGACTTTTCATTAAGGCCCCACCTAGTGTCGTCTCCAACATTTTCAATCAGTCCCGTGTTTCGAATAGTTTGCAATAGATTTCGGGGCATCGAAGTCTCCAACAATGGTGATTTGGTCATAGCCTAAGTCTCGTATCCCTGTGACAATGCTGAGCAGTAGGTGATGTGCTATGACTCACAGGTGGGAGATCGGTAGATGCCACCCAGTAAACGCTTGATGTGGCCTACGGTGAAGTGACACCATATCGAGTCTGGGAGTTCAATAGGTGGTGGGTCCGTAGCTCGCACACATTTAAATTGCCTGTCAAAGTATATGGCAACTCCCCCTCCTTCCTTATTATCCCTGTCTCTCCTGACCAGAACCATATCACTTATACTGATTTTGCTGTCGGCGGTAGTGGGAGTTAGCCAGGTTTCAGTGAGAATGATTATTTTAAGGCGTGTGTGCGACTGCAGGTTTCTGAGTTCGCCTACTTTTCCTTCCAGTCCTCTCACATTGCAATCAATGCAGCTGGCAGTGAGTCTAACAACCTCAGTGTGTTGCGGGGTAGTTGGTGTAACACTGTCTGCTAGTAGGGGACTTAATATTGGGGCTAATTGGCCGATTCCGATGGAGGAACCGTCAAGATGAAGCTGAAATCTATGAAAACAAATGGAGGCAGGTCACAATTCAGGTTCAGCATTCAGAAACTGAAGGATAAAACTAAAAAGAATGTTTTCGCTACAGATAAGAGAGAAGTCGGAAACACTACGTAGCATCACTGAGGAAACCTGTGTGGAAGAATATTGGAACTGTCTGAAAGCGATATTTAAGGAAACGTGTACAACTGGTCTAAGAGGAAAGAACAGACAAGACAAGGAATGGCTGTCAGTGGATACTGAGAAGCTAACCGAGGGGGGAGAGTGGTGAAAAGAATGTGACTCAATGCAAAGATGGACAACAAAAGGGGAAGCTAAGTACAGTGTACACTCCACTGAATAAAGTAGTGAAGAGAAGGACTAGGAAGGACAAAAGACAGTTCTGCGAAGCACTGATGACTGAAGCAGAACAGGCTGGCCGCAGATAAACGAGACTTCGGCACATTGTATCAGATAACCAGGTCTCTGTCCGGGAAGATGATGAAACTAATAAGAGATGGTGAAAAGACTCTGATTACCAAAGAGGAGAAAAAATTGGTTGATCACTTTAAAGGACTCTTGAATCGACCATCACCTGCAACTGGCCGAGAAATACACCACCACTGAAATCACGCACATAATTGCCTGCCAGTAAACACCAATCCTCCCGCGAAAGCAGAAATCTTGAATTTTATCAAGCTACTGAGGTCTGGGAAGGCAAAGGGAGCAAATGGAATTTCCCCCGAAGCCATGAAAACGGACCCAGAGTCTGAAACAGAGATCCGCAAGCCATTATTGCAAAGGGTTCGGAAGGAAGGAAAGGTACCTACCGACTGATATAAAGGCTGGTTACCTTGTCAAGCTGCCAGAGAAGGACGACTTACGCCACTACATGTGCTGGCGCCAAACCATGTTGTTGTCCTCACCAAACAAAATAACAGATCATGCGATCCTGGAGAGATTAAAGGATGCAATGGATACAGAACTCCTCTACGCG